CAAGGCATTGTCCTGCCCATCGCCGGACTCACTAATAATGACAATAGTGAACCTTATATAATACGAGCTGAACCCGTATAAATAGCTACAAAACATGAAAAAACATATTAGCATGCATGCCATGGCTCAGACTTGCGTCTTTTGTGCTGCAGGATGGCATTGTCCTGCACATCGCCGGCCGCACTAATAATGACAATAGTGAACCCTATATAATACGAGCTGAACCCGTATAATTAACCACAAAACATGAAGAATCATATTAACATGCATGCCATGGCTCAGGCATGCTTCTTTTGTGCAGCGGCGGGGGCAACTGCAGCATGGCATTGTCCTGCACATCGCTGACAATAGTGAACCAACCCTATATAATACGAGCTGAACCCGTATAATTACCCACATGCAAAACATGAATAAATTATATTAACATGCATGCCATGGCTCAGGCATGCGTCTGAGGTGCAGCGGCGGGGGCAGTCGCCCCTAGCTTTAAAAGCGTGTTTTTTCTTTTCCAAACTACCGGATTGAGGTTTTTGTTTTTTTCCAGACCCTTCCAAGCCCCCAATTGGTGCTTTTTAACCTTTTCGAGACCGTTTTTTTTGCTTTCTCCAAACCCCCTCCAAGCACCCGACTCAAATTTTTTGGACTTGCATTTTTGGACTTGCACACTTCCCGGTCTCTTCCTGAAGGGGTCACCCCTAGCTTTAAAGAGGTCGCCCCTAGCTTTAAAAACGTGTTTTTTTCTTCTCCAAGCTACCGAATCCAAGCTACCGAATTGGTGTTTTGGATTTTTCCTAGCCCCCTCCAAGCCTTCAGTAGATGCTTTTTTAACCTTTCCGAGACCGGTTTTGTGCTTTTTCCAAACCCTTTCCAAGCACCCACATCAAATTTTTTGGACTTTTCCACTTCCCGATCTCTTCCTGCCCTCTGCTCCCTTTTCCTTTGCCTCGGTGCCTTCAATTTACTTAAACCTCCGTTCGGGCTATTGTCTCAATTTGCCTAAACTGCGTTTTGCTTGTTGAAAAAATTTACCCTTTTACTTAAACTGAATTGTGGTTGTCGGTTGCTTTCCATGAATCCCGCTTTCCTTCTGCTCGTAAAACAACAACCTGCGCTGGCGCACTTTGGCGTAAGCCTCTAAAATTTAGGGTTTAGGGTTTAGGGTATAGGGTTTAGGGTTTAGGGTTTAGGGTTTAGGGTTTAGGGTTTAGGGTTTAGGGTTTAGGGTTTTGGGGTTTAGGGTTTAGGGTTTAGGGTTTAGGGTTTAGGGTTTAGGGTTTAGGGTTTAGGGTTTATAGAAATTGTTAAGGGTTTGGGTCCCAATAACTTTTTGGGGCACCGGCCAACCTTCCACCTCTTGCACAAGAACGGAAGGTTGGCCGGTGCCCCAGGAGTTTTCTCGACTGCTTCCATGTTTTTGGGTCCGTGGCAAGTCGTCTAGGGTTGGCCGACCGCCCAAGACAAGATCGACCATCCTGCCAAAAGGTGGGGCCGCTGGTGCGCTTGAACTCGTTTCGCAAGTTCCACCCTCGTTTACGAACCAAAGGTTGGCCGATGGCTGGGGGGGGGCTGGGGTGGGCTGGGCTGGGCTGGGCTGGCTGGCTGGGCTGCGCTGGGCTGGGCTGGGCTGGGCTGTGGGCTGGGCTGGGCTGGGGCTGGGGGCTGCTGGGCTGGGCTCTGGGCTGGGCTCTGGGCTGGGCTGGGCTGGGCGGCTGGGCTGGGCTTTGGGCTGTTTGGGCTGGGCTCTCGGGCTGGCCTCCTTAACTTCACTGGGTCGGTACGGTCGCCTGGGTTGGTTTATCGAAATTGCTTGCTCTGTTGATTGACCTCCAGCGTAAGGTTGGCCAACGTCTAGAAAGTGCTCGGTCGAAGTGGTCGACGCAGAAACCCCTGACAAGTTTAAGCGTTCAGTCTGAGTCGCCTGCCAATGCATGTGCTCGCTCTCCTGATGGGAATCGTTTCCTGCGCGAGGGCACCAGTTGTCAATCGAATGCCGAGCCTTCGTTACAGTCGCATCAACAAAGCAAGACCTTTTGCGTGAGTCGTGCCGAGTCAAGTGCATTGAACTAGAAGTGGAATGAACCGGCTGTTGTCTGCAAGATGAGCCAGGTCCGTGTTGGTGAAACGTTTAGAATCAAAGCCGGATTACTGCGTATGTGTCGCAAGGTTGCACGCCTAGCTGACAATTGACGGTGGGCTCAGGCTCGTCTTGGAAGCAATCCAACAAATAGATTCGGCTATGACAAGATATGAGAGCGACCCAGCGCTCATGGCAAGAGTTCCGGTCGCCGCGAATCTGTAGAATACTCTGTGCTCCAGCTGGCCAGACCTCCAGGTTTTGACAATGCTGCAACTTGAAGCCGCTCTTTTCCAGGGCGCAGTCCACGACCAAAGGAGACAGTATCCTGCCGCCCTGTCTCAAAAATGTGCACCAATCATGCTCATAACCACGTGCCTTCAACAGGTCTTGGGCTCCCTGCAGAGTGATGTCACATGCTTGTCTGCCCAGTGCATTGTTGACGGAGCACGTCGCAGTCGCCAATTGTTTCTGTGCGAGACCCAAGCTTTCATTCAAGCTTTGGAAGAATAGGAGGCTGCCGGTTTCAGTCAAGAATTTCCACTGCGGGTGGTTCTGCCGTGAAATCTGAACTCGAAAGCCAGCTTGTAGAATGTTCTCCTCAATTGCCCACTTCGCGGCTTTGTAGCTCAGAAAAGGCTTCTCCGTCCTCACCATCAGCGCAGAATACCTTCGCTTCAGTCTCCTCCGAGCTAGCCACCATCTTCGGCGGTAGACCCTCAGCATTGCCTTCTTCCCTTGCCAAAATGAACCTCGTGCATCCTTCTTTGTCGCAGCAGCAATGCGCTGTGCAGCTTTGCGGCATCCCACATAAGCAGAGAGAAGACGCCAGCTTCCGATACCACTGCGTGGGCTTGATGCAGCTTTTACATATTGGCGGCTGCTACTGCTCATGGATGGGTTCGCCCGCAGGATTGGCCGACCCAGCAAGAAATGCTTCAGGCGGGGTGACTTCTTGTGCAGCCAGCTCCATGATGGCTTGAACTTCGGAGGCTGTCCAGCCTTTGCGCGCAAGCCATACTGTTCGCTGGTAGATAGCACACACAGCGACCCCATTCCAAACGCCGCTTCGTATGTCGGCGATCCGTTTCGGCGCCACTGCTTGAGCTGTCTGACCAAATTGCCTTTTGCTATGCGGGAATCCAGAGCGAGTTGTAGGTTTTCTAGACTGCACAATGCGCAGCTCTTTCTGCTGGACTGAGCAGGTCCACCTCTACCATCTTGCGAGAAGATGCATGGTCTACTTCCGATTCCAGATGGATCCTCGAAGCCACGGCAGTAGCGAGGCATGGCAAGCCAAGGGTTCTGGACGGGTCTACTGTTGCATATTGCTCAGTAAAATTGCTTTCGCAAAGTAAGCCAGACGGCAAAGGACACTGCGCCGAAGTATGGGCCAGGTCTGGCTTCCTCTAATTACAGCATGCGTCGAACCGCTTCTGCACGCAAGCTCTCCGGCCTCGTCCCCGTCTCCGTCTCTCTTCGGGTTGAGGATGCGCACCTGGGACCCCAGATTGGTTGAGGATAAGCGAGTCACTTGGGCATTTCGGTCGTCCTCGCCTTCACCCCCTTCTACTGCCGCGCTTTCTGGCTTCGAGCACCTGGCAACAAAGATGCACGCTGTCTTCTTCAGCTTGAGCTTCCACACCTCGGAAACCCAAATTGGTTGAGGATAAGCCTTCCCGGCCTCGTCCTTGCCTCCGTCTTCTTCAGCTTGAGCTTCCACACCTCGGAAACCCATATTGGTTGAGGATAAGCCCTCCCGGCCTCGTCCTTGCCTCTGTCTTCTTCGGCTTGAGCTTCCACACCTCGGAAACCCATATTGGTTGAGGATAAGCCCCTCGAAACCTATATTGGCTGAGGATAAGCTTTCCCGGCCTCGTCCTTGCCTCCGTCTTCTTCAGCTTGAGCTTCCACACCTCGGAAACCCATATTGGTTGAGGATAAGCCCTGCCGGGCTCGCCCTTGCCTCCGTCTTCTTCAGCTCGAGCCTCCACACCTCGGAAACCCATATTGGTTGAGGATAAGCCCTCCCGGCCTCGTCCTTGCCTCCGTCTTCTTCAGCTCGAGCTTCCACACCTCGGAAACCCATATTGGTTGAGGATAAGCCCTCCCGGCCTCGTCGTGGCGGCTGCACCTCTTCGCCTGGCACCGGATAAGCGTGGCGGCTGTACCCCCTGGCCCCTATTCTGGTTGAGGATGAGCGTGGCGGCTGCGCCTCTTCCCCCTGGCCCCCATTCTGGTGGAGGATAAGCGTGGCGGCTGCACCTCTTCGCCTGGCACCGGATAAGCGTGGCGGCTGTACCCCCTGGCCCCTATTCTGGTTGAGGATAAGCGTGGCGGCTGCGCCTCTTCCCCCTGGCCCCCATTCTCCTCTTCGCCTGGCACCGGATAAGCGTGGCGGCTGTACCCCCTGGCCCCTATTCTGGTTGAGGATAAGCGTGGCGGCTGCGCCTCTCCCCCTGGCCCCCATTCTGGTTGAGGATAAGCGTGGCGGCTGCACCTCATCGCCTGGCACCGAATAAGCGTGGCGGCTGTACCCCCTAGGCCCCTATTCTGGTTGAGGATAAGCGTGGCGGCTGCGCCTCTTCCCCCTGGCCCCCATTCTGGTTGAGGATAAGTGTGGCGGCTGCACCTCTTCGCCTGGCACCGGATAAGCGTGGCGACTTCACCCCCTGTGGCCCCTATTTTCTGGTGAGGATAAGTGTGGCGGCGCGCTTCCCTGGACCATTTATGGTTGAGGATAAGCGTGGCGGCTGCACATCTTCGCCGGGCACGGATTAAGCGTGGCGGCCTGCCACACCCGGGACCTATTTATGGGCTGGGAATCAGATTCTGGTTGAGGAGAGCGTGGCGGCTGCACCTCTTCGCCTTGGCACGGATTAAGGTGGCGGCTGTTAACCCCCCTGAAACCTATATGGTTGAGGCTTTATAAGCGTGGCGGCTGCGCCTTCCCCTGGCCCCCATTCTGGTTGAGGATAAGCGTGGCGGCTGCACCTCTTCGCCTGGCACCGGATAAGCGTGGCGGCTGCACCCCCTGGCCCCTATTCTGGTTGAGGATAAGCGTGGCGGCTGCGCCTCTTCCTCCTGGCCCCCATTCTTCTGGTTGAGGATAAGCGTGGCGGCTGCACCTCTTCGCCTGGCACCGGATAAGCGTGGCGGCTGTACCCCCTGGCCCTATTCTGGTTGAGGATAAGCGTGGCGGCTGCGCCTCTTCCGACTCTGGCCCCCATTCTGGTTGAGGATAAGCGTGGCGGCTGCACCTCTTCGCCTGGCACCGAATAAGCGTGGCGGCTGTACACCTTATATGTGTTCGGGATAAGCGCGGCGGCTGCGCCTCTTCCCCCTGGCCCCCATTCTGGTTGAGGATAAGCGTGGCGGCTGCACCTCTTCGCCTGGCACCGGATAAGTGTGGCGGCTGTACCCCCTGGCCCCTATTTATTCTGGTTGAGGATAAGCGTGGCGGCTGCGCCTCTTCCCCCTGGGAATCTGGTTGAGGATAAGCGTGGCGGCTGCACGCTTCGAATGGCACGGTTAGCGTGGCGCCTGTTACCCCATGGCCTATTATGGTGGAGGAAAAGCGTGGCGGCTTGCGCTATCTCCCTGGCTCAATTATGGTGAGGAAAGCGTGGCGGCTGACTCTCTTCGCCTGGCACCGGGGTAAGCGTGGCGGCGTACCATGGCACCATTATGTTGAGGATAAGCGGGCGGCTGCGCGACCCTAGTCCCCTGGCCCCCATCTGGTTGAGGATAAGGTGGCGGCGGCACCTCTTTCGCCTGGCAACGGAATAAGCGTGGCGGCTGTACCCCTGGCCCCATTCTGGTGAGGATAAGCGTGGCGGATGCGCCTTTCCCCCTGGCCCACATTCTGGTCGAGGATAAGCGTGGCGGCTGCACTTCGCCTGGCACCGTATAAGCGTGGCGGCTGTACCCCCTGGCCCCTATTCTGGTTGAGGATAAGCGTGGCGGCTGCGCCTCGTCCCCCTGGCCCCCATTCTGGTTGAGGATAAGCGTGGCGGCTGCACTTCTTCTCCTGGCACCGAATAAGCGTGGCGGCTGTGCCCCCTGGCCCCTATTCTGGTTGAGGATAAGCGTGGCGGCTGCGCCTCTTCCCCCCTGGCCCCCATTCTGGTTGAGGATAAGCGTGGCGGCTGCACTTCTTCGCCTGGCACCGGATAAGCGTGGCGGCTGCACGCCCTGGCCCCTATTCTAGTTGAGGATAAGCGTGGCGGCTGCGCCTCTTCCCCCTAGCCCCCCTTCTGGTTGAGGATAAGCGTGGCGGCTGCACCTCTTCGCCTGGCACCGGATAAGCGTGGCGGCTGTACCCCCTGGCCCCTATTCTGGTTGAGGATAAGCGTGGCGGCTGCGCCTCTTCCCCCTGGCCCCCATTCTGGTTGAGGATAAGCGTGGCGGCTGCACCTCTTCGCCTGGCACCGGATAAGCGTGGCGGCTGTACCCCCTGGCCCCTATTCTGGTTGAGGATAAGCGTGGCGGCTGCGCCTCTTCCCCCTGGCCCCCATTCTGGTTGAGGATAAGCGCGGCGGCTGCACCTCTTCGCCTGGCACCGGGATAAGCGTGGCGACTGCACCCCCTGGCCCCTATTCTGGTTGAGGACAAGCGTGGCGGCTGCGCCTCTTCTTCCTGGCCCCCATTCTGGTTGAGGATAAGCGTGGCGGTTGCACCTCTTCGCCTGGCACCGGATAAGCGTGGCCAGCTTGAGGACAAGCGTGGGTTGCGCAGGCCTGCCCGCCTCATTCAGCTTGAGGATAGCTGCCTGGCGGCCTCATACAGGTTAAGGATAACCAAGCGGGTCGGGCAGGCTTGCCCGCTTCATCAGCTTGAGGATAAGCGCCTGACAGGTTGAACGCACATGTTGAGTGGAGGAGTGGGGGTGGGGGGGGTGGGGGGTGCAGGGGTGGCGTGTAGGAGGGTGAGGGGTGGGGGAGGGGCCGGGAGGGGGGCGGCCAGTCCAACCCCATTTAGGTTAAGAATAGGGGTTGTGCCTCCCCCCCTCTACCCGCCCCAAGAAGGTGTGGGGGGTGGCGGGTAGGAGGGTGGGGGGTGGGAGGGGGCCGGGAGGCGGGGGTGGGGGCTGGGAGGGATGGGGGCGGGGTCCATGAACCTGGACTGGTGGGCTGGGTTGCGTGGCCTGAAGGTTGTAGAGAAATTGGTTTATCAAGAAGCTTGTTCCGTTTTTGAGCTCCAGCTCAAAGTTGGCGGGCCGTACCGGTGGTTACAAGTTTGTAAAGAAACTGGTTTATCAAGAAGCTTGTTCAATTGAACTTCCGCACCTCGGAACCCCATGTTGGTTGAGGATGGGCCCTCCCAGCCTTGTCCTTGCATAGGTACTCCGGCCTCTCCTCGCCTCCGTCCTGTTCGAGTTGAGACCACGCACCTCGGACCCGATATTGGTTGAGGACAAGTGCTCCGGCCTGGTTCCCGCCTCCATCCTCTTCAAGTTGAGACCGCGCACCTGGGACCCCATATTGCTTGAGGATAGGCACTCCGGCCTGGTCTCGGCTTCTGTTCTCTCCAGACCACGAACCTGGGAACCCATGACAGTTGAGGATAGGCGATCCGGCCTTGTCGCCGCCTCCGTCTTCTTCAGGTTGAGACCACGCGCCGAGAACGTATTCTGAGAGTAAGTCCTTCGAGCCTGTTGTCGCCTCCTCTTGAAGCTCGCCTTCTTCTGGCTTCAAGCACCTGGCACTGATGCACGCTGCGGTAGGGCGCGCACCTAGGACCCCATATCGGTTGAGGATAAGTGCTCCGCCCTCGTCCCCACCTTCACCTTCTTCGGGCCGAGATCGCGTACCTGGGACTCCACGTTGGTCGAGGATAAGCGCTCCGGCCTCGTCCCCGCCTCCGCTTTCGCACCTGGGACCCCATATTGGTTGAGGATAAGCGCTCCGGCCTCGTCCCTGCCGAGCACGCACCTGGGACCCCAGCTCCGGCCTCGTCCCCGCCTCCGCCTTCTTCGGGCTGAGACCACGCGCCTGGAACCCCATATTGCGCCGGCCTGGTCCGCGAGAGCACGCACCTGGGACCCCATATTGGTTGAGGATAAGCGCTCCCGCCTCCGAGCACGCGCCTGGAACATATTGGTTGAGGATAAGCGCTCCGGCCTCGTCGCCTTCTTCGGGCTGAGACCACGCACCTGGGACCCCATATTGGTTGAGGATGAGTGCTCCGGCCTCGTCCCTGCCTCCGCCTTCTTCGACTGAGACCACGCACCTGGAACCCCACATTGGTTGAGGATAATCAGCGCTCACCTCCTCACTTCGGTCTCTTGGGGTTGGGACCACGTACCTGGGACACCATGCAGGCGAGCCTGCACGGCTTCGTTCCCGCTCCCGGCCTTCTTCTTCTTGAGGATACGCACCTGGCACTCCACGCTGGTTGCGGTCTAAGTGAGCGGGTTGGGAGGGGAGGAGGGTGGGGTTGCAGTGCGGGGTTCGGGGGAGGGAAGGGGAGGGAGGGAAGGGGGGGAGGGTGCGGGGGGACCCTCCGGAGGGGGCACCGGGTGGGGGGGAGGGGGGGGAGGGTGGGGAGGGGTGCGGGGAAGGGGAACCCACACTGGGGGAGGGGGCCGGGGAGGGGTGAACACCCCGTTTCAGTTGAGGATTGTTTTTTGGTGTCTGCCCACTGCCCTCCCGCCCCAGGAGGAGGGGGGAGGGCGCTCAGGGGGAGGGGGGGCGGGGGGAAGACCCCACACCCCATTTTAGTTGAGGATTGTTCTCTCGGCCTTGTCGCTGAGACCACACACCTCGGCAACCACATTGGTTGAGGCTCAAGCTTCCATACCTTGGATTGTCCTTGCCTCTGTCTTCTTCGGCTTGAGCTTCCACACCTCGGAACCCCATACCGGTTGAGGATAAGCCTTCCCGCCTTGTCTCTGCCTCTGTCTTCTTCGGCTGGAGCTTCCATACCCCGGAAACCCACATCGGTTGAGTATAAACCCTCCCGGCCTTATCCTTGCCTCTGTCTTCTTCGACTTGTGAGCTTCCACGCCTCGGAAACCCGTACTAGTTGAGGATAAACCCTCCCGGCCTTGTCGTTGCGCTTCTGCAGCTTGAGACCCCACGTCTTGGAAACCCATATTGGTTGATGATACACCCTCCCGGCCTTGTCCTTGCCCTTCTTCAGCTTGAGCTTCCACGCCTCGGAAACCCATACTGGTTGAGGATGAGCCCCCCCCCGGCCTTGTCCCTACCTGTGTCTTCTTCAGCTTGAACTTCCACACCTCGGAACCCCATGTTGGTTGAGGATGGGCCCTCCCGGCCTTGTCCTTGCCTCGGAAACTTATATTGGTTGAGGATAAGCCCTCCCGGCCTCGTTCTTACCTCTGTCTTCTTCAGCTTGAGCTTCCTGGGGCCACGCACTTCGAACCCCGGCCTTGTCCTTGCCTCCGTCGTCTTTTTGCTGGGGTCACGCACCTCGGACCTCATATTGGTTGAGGCCTCGTCCTTTCTCTTTTCTCCAAGATGAAACCATGCACCTGGGACCCTATCTTGGTTGAGGATAGGCACTCCGGCCTCTCCTCGCCTCCGTCCTGTTCGAGTTGAGACCACGCACCTCGGACCCGATATTGGTTGAGGAGAAGTGCTCCGGCCTGGTTCCCGCCTCCATCCTCTTCAAGTTGAGACCGCGCACCTGGGACCCCATATTGATTGAGGATAGGCACTCCGGCCTGGTCTCGGCTTCTGTTCTCTCCAGACCACGAACCTGGGAACCCATGACAGTTGAGGATAGGCGATCCGGCCTTGTCGCCGCCTCTGTCTTCTTCAGGTTGAGACCACGCGCCGAGAACGTATTCTGAGAGTAAGTCCTTCGAGCTTGTTGTCGCCTCCTCTTGAAGCTCGCCTTCTTCTGGCTTCAAGCACCTGGCACTGATGCACGCTGCGGTAGGGCACGCACCTAGGAGCCCATATCGGTTGAGGATAAGTGCTCCGCCCTCGTCCCCACCTTCACCTTCTTCGGGCCGAGATCGCGTACCTGGGACTCCACGTTGGTCGAGGATAAGCGCTCCGGCCTCGTCCCCGCCTCCGCTTTCGCACCTGGGACCCCTTATTGGTTGAGGATAAGCGCTCCGGCCTCGTCCCTGCCGAGCACGCACCTGGGACCCCAGCTCCGGCCTCGTCCCCGCCTCCGCCTTCTTCGGGCTGAGACCGCGCGCCTGGAACCCCATATTGCGCCGGCCTGGTCCGCGAGAGCACGCACCTGGGACCCCATATTGGTTGAGGATACCTTTTTCTTCTTGAGGATACGCACCTGGCACTCCACGCTGGTTGCGGTCTAAGTGAGCGGGTTTGGGAGGGGGGTGGGAGGGGCAGAGCGAGGGGGAGGGAAGGGAGCGGGGGAGGGAAGGGGGGGAGGGAGGGGGGGACCCTCCGGAGGGGGGGGGGAGGGAGGGGGGGGACACCCCATTTTAGTTGAGGATTGTTTTTTGGTGTCTGCCCCACTCGTGCCACCCTCCGGAGGAGGCACCGGGTGGGGAGGGGGAGGGAGGGGGGGAGGGTGGGGGAGGGGGGCGGGGAGGGGCGGGAACCAACGCCATTTTAGTTGAGGATTGTCTTTTGGTGTCTGCCCACTACCCCGGCCCAGGAGGGGGGGGGGGAGGGCGGGGGAGGGGGGGGCGGGGGGGAGACCCCGCACCCCACTGATTTCTGCCACTACCTTCCCTGAGAATTCGTGCCCCTGCCACCTCTGGAAGGGAGGCCGTCAATAGGGCATGGGAGGGGGAGGGAGGGGGAGGGGGAAGGTCGGCTAGCTCCTGAACTGCATACCTTCAGGTTCCTGTTTTGTTTGAGGAAAAGCTCTCCGGATAAGCCCTCTCAGCCTTGTCGCTGAGACCACACACCTCGGCAACCCACATTGGTTGAGGCTCAAGCTTCCATACCCTGGATTGTCCTTGCCTCTGTCTTCTTCGGCTTGAGCTCCCACACCTCGGAACCCCATACCGGTTGAGGATAAGCCTTCCCGCCTTGTCCCTGCCTCTGTCTTCTTCGGCTGGAGCTTCCACACCCCGGAAACCCACATCGGTTGAGGATAAGCTCTCCCGGCCTTGCCGTTGCCTCTGTCTTCTTCGACTTGTGAGCTTCCGCACCTCGGAAACCCACATCGGTTGAGGATAAGCTCTCCCGGCCTTGCCGTTGCCTCTGTCTTCTTCGACTTGTGAGCTTCCGCACCTCGGAAACCCATACTGGTTGAGTATAAACCCTCCCGGCCTTGTCCTTGCCTCTGTCTTCTTCGACTTGTGAGCTTCCACACCTCGGAAACCCATACTAGTTGAGGATAAACCCTCCCGGCCTTGTCATTGCGCTTCTGCAGCTTGAGACCCCACGTCTTGGAAACCCATATTGGTTGATGATAAACCCTCCCGGCCTTGTCCTTGCCCTTCTTCATCTTGAGCTTCCACGCCTCGGAAACTTATATTGGTTGAGGATAAGCCCTCCCGGCCTCGTTCTTGCCTCTGTCTTCTTCAGCTTGAGCTTCCTGGGGCCACGCACTTCGAACCCCGGCCTTGTCCTTGCCTCCGTCGTCTTTTTGCTGGGGTCACGCACCTCGGACCTCATATTGGTTGAGGCCTCGTCCTTTCTCTTTTCTCCAAGATGAAACCATGCACCTGGGACCCTATCTTGGTTGAGGATAGGCACTCCGGCCTCTCCTCGCCTCCGTCCTGTTCGAGTTGAGACCACGCACCTCAGACCCGGTTTTGGTTGAGGAGAAGTGCTCCGGCCTGGTTCCCGCCTCCATCCTCTTCAAGTTGAGACCGCGCACCTGGGACCCCATATTGATTGAGGATAGGCACTCCGGCCTGGTCTCGGCTTCTGTTCTCTCCAGACCACGAACCTGGGAACCCATGACAGTTGAGGATAGGCGATCCGGCCTTGTCGCCGCCTCCGTCTTCTTCAGGTTGAGACCACGCGCCGAGAACGTATTCTGAGAGTAAGTCCTTCGAGCCTGTTGTCGCCTCCTCTTGAAGCTCGCCTTCTTCTGGCTTCAAGCACCTGGCACTGATGCACGCTGCGGTAGGGCGCGCACCTAGGACCCCATATCGGTTGAGGATAAGTGCTCCGCCCTCGTCCCCACCTTCACCTTCTTCGGGCCGAGAGCTCCCGCCTCCGAGCATGCGCCTGGAACATATTGGTTGAGGATAAGCGCTCCGGCCTCGTCGCCTTCTTCGGGCTGAGACCACGCACCTGGGACCCCATATTGGTTGAGGATGAGTGCTCCGGCCTCGTCCCTGCCTCCGCCTTCTTCGACTGAGACCACGCACCTGGAACCCCACATTGGTTGAGGATAATCAGCGCTCACCTCCTCACTTCGGTCTCTTGGGGTTGGGACCACGTACCTGGGACACCATGCAGGCGAGCCTGCACGGCTTCGTTCCCGCTCCCGGCCTTCTTCTTCTTGAGGATACGCACCTGGCACTCCACGCTGGTTGCGGTCTAAGTGAGCGGGTTGGGAGGGGAGGAGGGTGGGGAGGTCCCCCGTGAGGGAGCGGGGGGACCCTCCGGAGGGGGCACCGGGTGGGGGGGAGGGGGGGGGGGAGGGTGGGGAGGGGTGCGGGGAAGGGGACCCACACCCCATTTTAGTTGAGGATTGTTTTTTGGTGTCTGCCCACTACCCCCCGTGAGACTCGTGCCACCCCCCGGAGGAGGCACCGGGTGGGGAGGGGGAGGGAAGGGGGGAGGGTGGGGGAGGGGGCCGGGGAGGGGTGGGAACCAACACCCATTTCAGTTGAGGATTGTTTTTTGGTGTCTGCCCACTACCCTCCCGCCCCAGGAGGAGGGGGGAGGGCGCTCAGGGGGAGGGGGGGCGGGGGGAAGACCCCACACCCCATTTTAGTTGAGGATTGTTCTCTCGGCCTTGTCGCTGAGACCACACACCTCGGCAACCACATTGGTTGAGGCTCAAGCTTCCATACCTTGGATTGTCCTTGCCTCTGTCTTCTTCGGCTTGAGCTTCCACACCTCGGAACCCCATACCGGTT